TAATTATAATTATAATTATTATTATTAATTAAATCCAGTGATAATGAAAGACTCTGGCTGTAGTGTAGCCCTGTTATAAAATGAAGAATTCTCATAATATATGTGGTCTCCTCACAGGGTTTCATGTTCGGGTATGCTACTGATGAAACAGATGAGTGCATGCCCCTGACCATACTCTTGGCTCACAAGCTCAATGCAAAGATGAAAGAGCTCTCCAGGAACAGAGTATGTCCGTGGATCAGACCGGACTCTAAAACACAGGTAAGATACCTTGTTTGTAGGACCGAACTGTATTGGTAATTGTCAGAACTCAAAGTGTAATAAAGTAAACAAAGTTTCCCATCTTGTGCTCTTGGAGCCCCACAGTTCAATGATTTGATGCTACAAAAAAAAGATCATGTATTCACAATGCGTTTTACACCTGTTTTAACGTAATAAATCACTAAATTCAGGGAAATTAAAATTAGGGTTGAACCTTGGAGGCCACATTTCATTTGAAGTACCCTTTCCTTGAGCCAACTTACTTGACCTGCCTGCAAAGTGTTGAAAAATAAGTATAATGTACTCTAGACAGTAAAATTACTTCCCTGTTTGGGATGTGAAAACATAGGACAGTTTTCACAGGGAGGCCATTCTACTCTTTAGTTCATTTGATTGCTGTTACTAAATTAATCTGAGCATATCCTCTACCTATTGCTTGAAAGAAGGTAGGGTTTCAGGTTTGACACTATGGCTGGATAACTTGTTCCAGACACCCACATTCCTTTGTGATTTCACTTCCCAGTTTTAAATACTCTTTGCTGCTGTTTCCACTTGTGTCGTCTGGTTCATGTTTTACGATTGATTCTAAAGACTTTTATTGGGTTGGCTTGATCAGTGCCTTTGAGAATTATGAATATTAGATGAAGGTTTCCTCATAGTGTTCTCTGTACAAGACTAAAAACATTATGTTGTTTTAGCCTGTCAGTGTTAGAGATTCTTTAAAGGCTGATAGTATCCAGCAGTAATATATTTTTTTGTGATATGGTGATCAAAATTGTAGTGCATTTCACAATTTAAGAAAAATATCCCTCCGTTTTAATTCTGTATGCTAATTCTCCCTACATTGTCTGAAGCAGAGAAATGATGTGCCTACCTAAAGTTCTTTTTCAGAAGTAGTTTCTTAAGATGAGTATTTGTATTTTGTATTTATACTGTTGGATTTGTATGCCTTTTAAATGTCACCTGCCACATATTTACCTAATCTTGAAATTGGCTTGTTGCTTCTACAGTGTTTCCTAAATCTCCTGTTAACATGACTAGTTTACATACAGTAATACACCAAACTCTCGATGCAATGGTTATCTAGATACTAGTGGAATGATAGTGGTCCTAATTCATATCCTGTGGTTCTCCACTAATTGTCACCCCAATTTAAGAATTTTCCCCTTATCCATACTATTCGTTAAGCAGCTCTCAATCCAAAAACCTTGAATGTGTTTTCTAATCATCCATTGCGACCGATCGTTTTTGCTATCAAATACAGTACTGTACTAAGAGAAATGACCCTCCTAATGAGAGTGCGTGAAAACTTTTCAGATTCTACTTTTTCTTTGTTAAGCTGAAAATGTTGATTTGGCACACTTCCATTAGTTTAGAAAGTTGAATGTTTTGATGGAAAAAGGCCTGCGAACCCAAAGTTGGTCATTGCCTCTTTGCCTTTCCACTAGGTGACCGTGGAGTACCGTGACAATGAGGGAGCAATGGAGCCCGTACGGGTTCACACAGTGGTCATATCAGTCCAGCACAGTCCAGATGTGTCCCTGCAGAAGATCAGAGATGACCTGAGGGAGAAAGTGATCAAAGCTGTCATCCCAGCCAAATATCTAGATGACAAAACTGTGTATCACTTACTGCCAAGTGGGAAGTTTCTCGTTGGTGGACCGCAGGTACAGTATGGAAGAGTTCATTAGAACAGCCATCCATGTCCAGGGTTTGAAGATATTTATTTAAAACAGCAGGGCAGTGTTTCTCAGCCCTGATCCTAGAGCATTCTTGTGTATTGTGGTTTTGGTTTCATTTGAGCTCTGAAGTAGGCTAAATCATCTGCAATTTATTGTTTAGACCTTTTATTTTCTGTTCAGGGATAGGGTTAGTAATTACTATCAACCCTGAACTGATTTCTGTGTTTCACACCTGCCTATGTGCAGCTGTGTGGCACATATAAATTGGATCTCTGCTTTTGTGTTGGGAGGGGTTGATGTCATTTTCCCTATCTCTGCCCGGCTACTGAGAGCCGTTGAGGGCAAAGAAAATACAGCAACTTCTTAATTAGCAAATTGTGGGGAGAATGGATGGAATACAGAAACAAGTGAAATTCTGAATTTCTAATCAAGCTAGACTCTGGATTAAAGGGATCAGTCAGCCTCGGGGATTAGGAACTCAGCCATCTTTTTCCTGCAATGTAAATCATTAGCCTTTACAAAATAGTTATGTATAGAGCTATGAAGCACATGATTTTAATGTTCTTTTATCCATTTGAAAAGACGCTGCTGGTTCTTGGAGGAATAGCTTGGACTGTGAAAATCCTTGTCTTACCTACTTTCCATTCTGTGATATTCAATGACGCATTGACTATTTGATTTATATGTGTTCTAGCAAAGTACCAAACCATGAAACAATTAACTTGTGTAAATAAACATAGCGTAAGTTTCAGACTCCATTTAAGGGAGGTGGTAAGCCAGGTGGAGAGTATCAGGCAGTTGACATGATGAAGTTCAGCAGCTTTGATTAAGAAAGCAACTTGCACATCTATGTCTTTTTGGCTAAACGTTTAGGATTTCTTCCAGTTTTAGTTTCCCACAAGCCATTCAGTAGCTCAAAAGTGCTGAGTCCTGGTCTTGCCTGCTTCCCTAAACAGAGCGACGCGGGACTGACGGGGCGGAAGATCATCGTCGACACGTACGGGGGCTGGGGCGGCCACGGCGGGGGGGCCTTCTCTGGGAAGGACTACTCCAAAGTGGATCGCTCCGCGGCTTACGCGGCCCGCTGGGTGGCCAAGTCCCTGGTGAAAGCAGGGCTCTGTAAGAGAGTCCTGGTCCAGGTAGGTGGGGGGCAGGTGACAGGCCTCAGGTCCTGAGAGCACCCCGCCGTTCTCTCTCGCCAGTTCGACCACACCTTCACCCTCGTTCAAGAAGGAGCGAAAATCAGTGAAACAGCTGTGGGCTAGAGAAGAATAACTGTAGTAGAGACAACTATGGTTTTGTGTCACGCCCTCTGCAACCAGGGGGCGCTACTATATCCTGTCCCTAGTTTCCTGTGCTTTGCTGTCCTTCCGGTGTCTCTCTCTCTGGGGCTATATATTTCCCGGTCTCTCATTCACCTTCGCTCAGCATTGACGTTCAGATGTCCTGAGACCCGCCTAGCATCCAGGTCGCCCCACGTCCACCTAGCATCCAGGTCGCCCCACGTCCGCTGCCTTAGTTTCTATACGACTCCTGAACTGCTGAGCCCGGGTTAATCCCCCATTCCGCCGCTACGCATATGGGTCTTTTTCTGCTCTCCTGCCTCTCCACGGTTTGTCCCTTCCGACATCCGTGACAAAGATAAAAAGCAGGGTTGTATTTCAGAATCAGTTTGTTCTTCAGAAGACAAGGACTTGGAAAATAACCTCGTGAGACTGCGAATACTCTGACCAACGTCCAGGGCTCTCACCATAGTTGCTTGGGAAGTGTGTTTCTAAGGGGGTGAAGTTCATGTTGTACAATTGGGACCTTGAGCTGTGAGAGCTGTCCTTGCCAAAGAAACGAGATTTCTTCATTTAAGCTCGCAGCCAGTGTGCTTTTTGGAACATTCTGGTAGTTGCCTGCAGCTGCATGGAAGAAAATGTTAAAAAAAGGTTACAGTACAAAAAAGCAACAAGACCTTTCTCCTTTGCTCTCTTGTTTTGTAATAGATCTCCTATGCCATCGGAATAAGCCACCCGCTGTCCATCGCAATCTTTCATTATGGCACCTCGACTAGAGATGAAGATGAGCTGCTGGAGATAGTGAAGAAAAACTTTGACCTGCGACCTGGGGTCATTGTTAGGTCTGTTTTTTTTTTCCTTTCTTTCTGGGTTTTAGTTAATGTTATGTAGAAGACTGACTGAGCTGAATTATTTGCTGTCATAATTTAAAGAGACAGATTTTAAAACTTCACCCATGCTAATTTTGATGTAATAGTTTTTGTTTGGACAGAATTTAGTATAACCTCTTACATTGGACCCTTTTAGTAACTGTTATCATATTTAACCAACTAATGTAGCAAATAACTTATTCCACCAAGCTGTGGTGGAACCAAGAACACGATACTGTATAAAATGTCAATTTAGGCACAAATGATTCCCCTGTGAGACGCTCTGTCGTCATCAGCACTCTGTTGATAATATCCGTGCTCTTCACATACACTGGAAAAGATGTGGCAAGACAAAGTGAAAGGTTTGTTTCAGGTGCGACAGGCTGTCAAATACTGTATTATTATATAAAAACGTCTGTCAGTCCCGCTTGTCTGTGGGATATCTGCGTATGTGAAAATAATATCTCAAGAATAGATCTGTCTGTGGCAGGGTTTGTTGCAGGTCTTTGGCCTTGAAGGGCACTGCCTAACATATTTGAAGGTTTGTGGTACAGTTAAGCCTTAACTAGACCATATTAAACCTTTTGTCTTGGGTTTAATGTTGATTAAACCGACAATGTGACAACACGATGGACTGGGGTCCTCAAGCACTGGAATTGGATCTTTTCTGAGAAACATTTCAAGATTCAGGGAAGTGTGTGGAATACCCATAAAAAAAACATCTTAATGCTTTTTCCAGTTGCAGTCTGCGCCCCAAAATAATAATAATAATAATAAAAATCTGAAATACGTACACAGTTTTTAGGTTAGAAATGTATTTAAATTAGAGCTGGAATCTGTAAACCTAAGAATCTGTTAACTATATTTCTATGGCGGCTAGATTTTGTGTGAGTTTGTGGTAAGCTATCTAATTTTTCCTACAGGGAGCTCAATTTGAAAAGACCCATCTATCAGAAAACGGCGTGTTATGGGCACTTTGGGAGAGAAGAATTTCCCTGGGAAAAATCAAAGCCACTGGTGTTCTGACAGAGTCAATGTTGACCTGCAGTCCTGTCCGAGACACGTATCTTCACTCTCATCACATCTGACATCCAGAGAGTTTTGTTCCTGAAACACGATGACTTTGCAATAAAACAAAATGGGCTTTAAAGTATGTTTTATACTACAAGTATATATTGACACACTTGGTAAACACGTATGTATGGGGTTGCACTAAATGTTTTGAAACTTATTAAAAAACATAATTATAAAAAATCAAGTGTGGTTTAATGGAGTGTAAGGGACAGCTGATATTTTCAACTTCGCACATTTTTATAATTTCACTTACAAAAATACATTCCTTTTATGGGACTTGTTCTCCTTCTTGCAGATGCCACAAAGACAGAATTCAGCATTTTTTTCTCACAGCCTTTCCATTGCCCTTTCTACCATATTATTGCTGCATATTTAGAGAAATTCTTTCCTACATCTCTGTCTTTATTATATCTGAGCCTTCGTTTTTGGGTCGGGGGTCTTTAAATGTTAACAGCCTTGCTGAAGATCCCCACAATGATATTGTCATGTCATTTACCAAACCGCTTTATACCATAATGGAGTCGTGTTAAGCCAGAGCCTACCTGGCAAGCAACGAGCACAAGGCAGGGTACACCCTGGACGGGGCACCAGTCCATGCCAGTCATACATGGGGACAATTTGGAGGCCACAGTAAAGGCCGAGGGGAGAAATTTGGCCTGGGCACTGGGATAACTCCCTACTCATATCGAGAAATGCCTGGGAATCATTAATGACCATGAAGAGTCAGGACCTCGGTTTAACTTCTGATCCAAAAGACAGCACCCACTACAGTATGGTGTCCCCGCCTCTATACCGGGGCATTAGGACCCACACAGACCACAGGGTGGGTGCCCCCCACTGGTGCCACTAACACTACTTTCAGCAGCAACCATAGCTTCCCAGGAGGTCTCCCATCCAGGTACTGACCACACTCAACCCGGCTTAGCTTCAGCGGGTAGGCAGTTGAGAGCTACAGGGTGATATGGCTGCTGGCACAATGATATTGTGTCTTGCATAAATAAATCACCTTTACCGTTTAAACGCATCTTAAACTTTGATTCAGACTGAAGGATTCCCTCATTGTTGAAGCAAGATTTGTATGATCAGAATCAAAAAGTTTAATAAAAAACAAGCCTACAACAGACAAAACTGTTTTAAACAATTAAAAAAAAATGCTTAGTGTGAGCCAGTGGCACCATTAGTTTATCCAGAATTTATGTATTATGTATGACTTTAAGCCATACATAATAAAAATTAAATACTGTATCTGATATAAACTAATATTTTCTAATATATACTGTATCTGATATGAAGCTCTTTTTTTAAACATTGAGGTATACAGTATCTCTGCTCTTTAGTGATGCACCCTTGGAAGAAAAGTCAAGAAATCCCATTTTTGGGTGCTAGAGGGCAGCAATGATTTTTTTCTTCAGTAATCTTAACTACATTTCCCAGAGGTGCCAAGCTTACAATACGCGTTTCAATCAGGAAGAGCAATGGGGAACTACATACAGCGATCTTAAAAATACTCGCTAATTAAATCAGATTGTAAAGGGGATGGCTGAGCTTAAGACAGTTGCACTATTCGGAATAGTGTCTCTGTCTTTCTATTGTTTTGCTTTGTGGAAAAACTCTAATGTTGGTAAGAAAAGGTCTCCGTCTTAGTAACTGTTTAGTGACGTGAAATAATTTATTTGACCTGTTTCTGTTCTTTCGCTTTTTTATTATTATTCATGGAAGTGTGTTTGTAATACGTACCAAGCAATATCACAGCACATAAATATAAATATCGTAATTTAGTTTTATAGCTTTTCAACTTTATAAATTCGCACAATATTGAAGGATTCCATGAACACCAATTTTCCGATGTATAAAAATCAGCATCAGGCTCCTTTCACAATTAACGTTTATATTTTTATCTGAACTGTCTCGGTAATTGATAGTTTCTAATTTTTGCAGTTTTTCTGCCTATGAAATTGTCACACCAAAAGCTGTTTTGTAACATGATGATCATCACTGTTCTCATGCATTTATTATTTTTAAAGTTCTTGCTTGATTTTATTAATGTGAAACAAAATTTCATAAACTTTCAATTATGAAACATTAATTTCATAAAAGAAAATGTCTGAGAGGAAGACACGAAGCTTTTGTACATGTCTTTTTAATAATTGGGTTGAAGTAGTTCAAGTAGGTAGCTGCGTCAGCATGCTTAGGCTGCAAAGGAACAAGTAAAGGTTTATTCCATGCAATTTTGCATATAATGCCATAATGAGTTTGTCCGAGACATTTAATAAAAATGTTATTTTCGACCAGTGATGCAAATAATGTATATTCTTCCAGCTGAAGTATCGTTTGGAAAGAAGTCGCAAAACCTTGCCCCTTCACTTTCACTCTAGCTCTTCGAAATTTTAATCATCCGAGGCGTCGTTACGTGGAAAAGGTGCATGTGTATATCTCATAAGTAAACTTCTCTTTTCATTTTCTTCTGTGTTGCGGATATCCTCCCCACCACCTTTGCAGCTACAGCCTAGTTATCTGCTCACTCTGCTGGGCGGTCCTGCAGCCAGGGACTGGGTCTTCAGCCCAGTGCGTTCGTCCATACCTGAGCGCTCAGACGTGTACTTATTCTTTGCGATTGCCTGTTGTAACGGGAGATCCCGTGTGTCTTGTCAGGTGTGAGACGCGTGCTGCTGTTGGCCGGGCGAGGGCTCCTGGTGCTGGCTCTGGCTACGTGGCTGGTGTCGGCAGTGTTTCCACGGCTGAGATCCCTCTTCCAGTCCACTCTCCACCTGGTCTGTCCCCAAGGTCAGCGTCAGCCACTCCACACTCTGGGTATACTCGCAGACTTACCTCTCGGCTCCCACGAGAAAGGCAATAGTACCGGCTTCATCGCAACACATTTGGTCATTGGTTATCACTGACTTTCTGTGCAGCCAGGGTTTGAAATGTATTGTATTTTACCAACATTGCCCTTTTTTTCCTTTACTTTTTATTTAATAACCTTGAATAATCACAGAGACTACCCTTGGCACCAAGAGTCTGATGCAATATGCATTTGATGTGTTTTTTTAAGTACCTGAAGATGAAGCGAACTGGGAACGGGACAAGGCCAGGAAAGAACAACAGGAGAAACACAATGAGAAGGTGGGTGTCTGCGGTGTTCAGCCTTTTCTCGTGGTTCAAGAAAGCTTTGTTCAACAGGTTTTTCATGTATCAGGAATGGAATGTTATGGACTCAAAGTGTCTTATTTTTGCCCTGGTATCAGTCAGAATAGTCTGTGGTGCTACAATACAGGAGAAAGTACATGCTGGGTCATGTACGATTGACGTTTTTGCACTGGTGATTTTAGGCCATTTGCTCAATACAGTCAGTCCCTGCAGTTCTTTCCCAGTGCTGTTTACACTGCAAGGATATTAGTATCCAAATCTCATTTATCTGTATGCAGACAGGCAGATATGTTAGTCAAAGTGAGACGTGTGTCAGTGCCAGAAATATTTCTATCATGATGCAGCATGTATAAAAAAAAAGTCATTGCTAAAGGAATGCTTGTGACTGAGAGCTCCTCTCCAGTCTTGAGACATGAGGATGTGAGCGTAGTAATTTAACCTTATGGCTCTGTTCCTCTTGCTGAGGTACAGTCTGAGAGGCAGTTAGGACTTTTTAGCACAGTAGGCGATGTACTGCTGAAATTACAAATGCACATAGGACTGTAAATTAAATACTTTAATCTCTAGTCTCGTTTTATTATTTTATGACAAGTTTTGTAGCTTGTCTTTTGTCTACGGGAGTATGCAGTGGTCTTAGTATACATTTTTAATTCCTTAGAAAACTGTAAATGTAAGAATGCAAGAACAGTTAGAAAAGAAATGAGGCCATTTGACCCTTTTCAATAGTGGTTCATTGATCCCAGGTCTTGAAGGAAGCCAAAGCATCGGTTTCAACAACATGGCTGGGCAGCTTGTTCCACACTCCCACAACCATTCTGGTTGGAACTGGAAGTATCTGAAATCTGGGATTATTTTTATTCGCTGTACTAAAACAATCTGCTGACAATCTGCTGTCCAACAAATCCGTTAGTTTAACTGCAAATTTAACCCTTTCCTCGTCTTGGTTTCGTATTAGGCTTCCACATATCAGGAGGTTGTGCTGAGGCCTCGTCAGGAGTCCAGGCTGAGGAAGAAGCAGGAGAAGCTGTACAGGATGACTGGGGAACTCTGGAAGCTGTCGGCGGGGCAGGCACTTCGGGTGAGGATAGGAGCTCACTTTAGGACACAAGGGAAAGGGGAAATCAGGTGTGGCTTTAGAGAATATGTAGTCCCAGATCATTTTAGATCCCAGAGCCATCCCACTGTGTGTCTTCGTCTGGAAACTTTAAACATCAACTCCAGGAACAAGAGCCTTAGATTTTAGATGTAGGTGCAAAAGGTTGCTGTATGTTGCTAAGCCTCAAAAAGGCAGCACTTGGAAACAAGGCCATGACGATAGAAAAGTAGTTAAGCAGTCACACGTAGCTGTAATTACCCTCTTGTTTGCTGAGGATAAAAGAGCAGTGGGAACTGATGCAGTATCTTTGAAAACAAAAGAAAAAAAAGAAGGCTACAAATGAATCACAGGGCTCTCACCACAGAGCAGCTCTGTCTAGGGAGGACTATCTGAATCGACATCTGAGGCAGGGCAAACCTAATCTACACTCCAGGAACTTCCCAGGAGGGAACGGCCCGGTGTCTTGACTGTCTAGGTTTCTCTGTACAGGCGAGTGCAGCCTCCGATCAGGATGCCGGTGCTGGCAAGGAGCCTGCCTCTGACACTCCAAACCGAGAGGCCATGAGGAGACAGAGGCTGCCGGAGACTCTGGTCAGGGTCCCCCCTCCTTCAGAGCCCCCCCAGCAGAAGAGGGTAAGCCACTCAGTTTCAAATAACCCCCACTCCTCTACCCTGAACACAGACGCAGCCCCTCAGAGGAGCTCACCAGAGAGGTGCCCACCACAGAGCCAGTAAAACCACAGAACTCCCACAGCGTTGAAGGGGAACTGCAACTCCCTTTTTATTTTTCGAGGTTCGAAAGAATCCACATCAGTGAGTGCATTTCAAACCACAATGAAAGTAAAACGTGCACAGTAACTTATAAAACCTCCAATTTTCATCACAAACTAGATGAAATTTCCAGGGATGCTCAAAGCCATTCAGAATAAGGCAACAAAACGTCCGGTGATGTGCTCTGGCCCTATTATTTTATATTACATTATAAACAAGCAGGCCTGTGAATACATCTCTTTTAATCCAACAGAAGTATGCTCTCGATTGCAAGACTGTTTTGCGGATAAATAGAACTTACTTGTTAACTCCACATGCACATCATGTTGGAACTTTGGTGAAATATCTGCTGCACAACTTGTACTTATTCGCTCGTACATCTCATAAGTTATTACAGTGACTAGTGAGCAGGAAGGGCCACATCCCATCACAAATTGTGGGAACTCCCACTCTCCAGGAACCAGAGGTGTGTGACAACATGGTGATTTACAGTACTTTTTTACAAAGTTGACAATTATGTACTTCATTCGAAAGTTGTAATTGTTTTCTAAACCATCAATGAATTTATTTCATTACCGAGAGTTAATAACCAGTCCGATGAAATTGGGACTGCAGTTCTCCTTTAAATGGTGCTGTTTTTCATTTTCCTTTCATGTTTTGCAAACAGTTGGGTACAGTACTTCTATTTAGAGGTACAGTTGGGTAATTACTTTTAATAGAGAACTCGCTAGGTTTTGTGGTCATGGATTTTGGATTAATTTCCCTCTGAGGTTTTGTTCCAGACACCAGAGAACTACATGTTTGCGTGTTGTCTTTCCCTTATTTAAAATGTACATTTAATTTCAGCAAAACAGTTTATCTCAGAATTACAGGCTGATCTGTTGGCTTTATACAGGTTGTTGTTTTACCTGAAGAACCACCAGAAGACTCTGAAGGGGTAGGTAATATGTTCCCTCTGATTCTGTGCCTGCATACTGCAAATTGCTTATGTCAGACAATGTTTAGCCTTTAAGGCATTCCTGCTTTGAAACAGATAAATTCAATAATTTAACTGGCTGCCATGTCTGGTCTACCAGAAAGCAGAAAGAACTGGTGCCCTTTGCATTGTGTATGGGGGGAGGGAATGCATGTCATAGAGTTAACTATGTATCCCTTCTTACTTTATTGTCCCAGATGGTAAATTTGCTTTGCAGGCAGGTTAAGACATAACACATTACACAATACATTTAATAGACATAACACATTACACAATACCTTTATCACAAAATGTATTTCACAGATGATGAGAAAGAAAATATACACAAAGTAAATAAATTAGTTCAAAGTTACAAAATTGAGAGATTAGTTCACCAAGGACAATGAAAGGCCAAGTTCAGTGGCTATACAGGCTGTGTAGCATTAACAGAAGCCCTGTGCTGTTTATCAAATCCACACTGCAGTTATCACACCTTTAATCCCAGAAAGATCTGTTTGCACAAGGTAGTAATTTAGTAATGTCAGACAATAGGCATGCACTGCGAATTTGAGGTGCATTTCATGCATATGGTATTTTTAAAATTTGACTAAGTGTAACAGTAGTGTCAGGAATCTGATGACTCCAGTTTAATCTTAAAGATCTCAATATTTAAGATTTTACATTCCCTTCTTCACAGAGTGTCTTTACATGTTTAGAAGTAGCTCTGCCACTGCTGACGTTTTCCTGTGGTGTTGCAGGCAGTCAGGGTGGCTCTCAGATGTACCAGCGGAAGGACTTTCAGAAGGACGTTTCTCAAGTCTCACAGCTCACAAGTAGGTTCCCTTGAGTCCAGTTCCCATTGAAGGTGTTTTCAGAATGTGCTGATTTGTGGGTGAGGGGATGTTTGTTAATGTGCCTTTCAAACTAGGAGGACTAGGTGAAGCTTCATAAATAGAAACTAAGCCTCAAGAAACACAGCGCTGGGTTCACAAGGATTCCATTGCGCCATCTTCTGTTACTCGAGTGGTATGTTACTGAATCTAAGCTGTTAACGTCTTCTGAGTCTTGGCATAGATGTTAAATGTTTGGTTTTCCTTTACAGGTATTACAGGTCAAGGCTTTATTAGTAGATATTTACTTCTGTAATTCTCTAGACAAGTGATAGCTTTATGTTTAGCTAGATTTATTAAGATATACTTTGCTTTAAAATACAGGGTTGCAGGGGAGCTGGATTCTATCCCAGCAGGTATCAGGCGCAAGGCAAGATTCACACTGGACAGGACATCAGACAGATATAAACACAGAGGCACACTCATGTCTAGGGCCAGTTTTTCCAGAAGTGAATTAACGAGTTACTTACCTCTGTCTTTGGACTGTGGGAGAAAACCCACACAAACATTTGACACAGGTAGCACCTCAGATCCATATTTTAATCCAGGGCTCCAGCTCTGTAAGGCAGCAACACTAAGCACTCCACCACCCTAATATAAATGCCATCCTGGTAAAATGCATGATGGGTTCAGTACCCACTGTTAAGGTGGTTAACTGTTAGGTATTTTTTAAATGAAATTAGGAAGCTAAGAAAGTCCTTTTGAAAAGCCTCCATCATGGAACTTGTAGGAGGTTCAACAAGTAAAAGCCATTCCTAGCTGCTGCTTCTGAGTGCAGGCTGAGCCGTCACCTGGACGATGCATGTTCAGGCCTGGGTCATGTCAGCTGTCGCTGCGAGCACTGCTTTCTGAAGGGGTGCTGCACAGTAGGCAGATCACGTCCCAGACAAGGTTGATATTAGACAGCAAGGGCTCTCTCAGCTTTCCAGCACAGGGACACTGCTCTCCGGCACTACCTCTCCTGTCAAATGACAAGGCTGCTGGTGGTCATGGTGGAGGAGCCTGTCAGTGGACTGGGGGCAGGAGCCGTGCTGGCAATAAGAGTTCACTGTGCCCAGGAGCAGCAACACCCTCAAGCTGAAGTAAACCTAATGTATCATCAGTAACACATGCATAATTTACATAGTATTCCAGAAGTGCTGAATATAAATCTGCAATGCAGAAACAGGAGAAAAGAACAGCAAATCACAGTGTTTAGAGAACTTGTGTGCCACTGGCTATTGTCTTAACTACAATTCATAAACTATAATATAAATATTATTTGCTTTTAGGAGTTGAAACAACGAGCTCCAAGTGAAGCAAGTTAAAAGATCACAGAAATGTGACTTGCTGAACACGTCGTAGACAGTCAGAGATGACTGGGTCTTGATTGGACAGCAATTTCCAAAACATCCCCCTTGTTTTTAATGCCCAGCTGGTCTACCAGACTACAAGAGGCTAAATTTTGTGTGGAAGAAAAGAGTTCAAAATCCTACAATGCACAGCAAGCCAAAGTTCTTTTTCTTTAATGGTTGATTTACCTCAATTTTATATATTTCCACTTGGAAGTCTTTTCCCCCAAAGCCCTCAAATATCTTGCCTTGTGATGTAAGAGGTTCCACTACCTCACTACCAGGCTATCTCCAATGTAGCAGCAGTCAAAGTGCTGATACCATTATTCTGTGGGGTCCTATAAGACTGTGTCTATAGGAAGCAAAAGAAGGGGCCGTGCAGGCAAATGGACACTGCTCCCTTTAAACACAAGTGATGCCAAGTCTTCATTGCTCCATCATGCTCTGCAAGGTCACTTTGTCCTCCCCTCCCTCTATCTTTGACTGGTTGCCTGACATTTAACATTGCAACAAACCCACATTTTGTAATCTCAACCCTGAGTTAGTTTTTTTTTTACAAATTCTTCTGCAACTCTAATGAAATTTGTTTGTCCTCAGCAGAAAGTTGAGGATACCGCACAGGTTCAAACCAGTATTAATTCCACTTTCAGTGCTCATAGTTACCTTCATTTCTGCTTCTTGACAGTACCGTTGAATTCTGCTCACCTGACCTGGTGGGATCATTAAAGGAATTCTAAGGCTCATTTAACTCTCCATCACTTTTCAATGTAGCACAGCCACAAGCAATATAAAAAGCTATTTAAACCAGTTTGTTTTCGCCATATAGTTTTACTGTCCAAATATTTAAATGAAAAGATAAGTGTAAGATGCAGACATTCTTTTTTTAAAGGATATAATGGCAAAAACCTGTGGTTAAATAACTATACGGTTTCAGTGACCATTCTTGTATGCATTCTTAAAAGTGTAAACAATAATTATCCTTCCTGTCATACAGGTACTTCTGGACTGGATGGTGAAGATTGGTTACCACCCAGCCATTTACACCATCTGCACAATGTACCCCCGCAGACCCCTGAACATTGCCCTGGACATCAGTCTTGAACAAGCCGGAATTACAAAAAACACAGTTTTGAATGTGGATGAAAAAGACCCCTCTCCAACATGAGAAAGCCTCTTGCTCTCTCTAGGGAGAGCTACTTGTAGTGGAAGGAAATAAACAAAACTGTGTGTCTAATAAGCTGTTGAAGAACTCTTCCATGCGTACATTGCACATGACACTGCCCTAGAGGTCTGCTGCCCGACAAAGTATCGGGTTTTGGGACGGTTTTTAATGTACAACTTCGGGCTCGGGCCGGGTTTGTTTTTTAATAAGTGAAAATGAATTATTATATGTTTTAAATGTATTTTTATTAGAAGAAATTTGTAACTAATCTTGAGCGTGGTCGCTCTCTCTCTCGTATGTGTGTAACGGAGCCAACCTAGCTAACGGTTCGCAATGGATGAAATTAAACGAAAAATCACGAAATGCCAAATGAGTCGGCTACTGCCCTTTTGCAGTGCGATAATTATTGTCAGGTAGGATAATTAATTCCATAAAAAATGTGTATTAAATGTGTGTGTGTTGCCTTGCATGACGTTATGACGCAGAAGGTATCTTAAACCAGTAATACCTGCAAGCCTATTCACTTTGCTTATAGTGCTAGCTTTTTCAGTAGGCCCATTACGGTTAACAGCCATTCACCACTTTCAAAAGTATTACAGATTTCTAAAATAGTTTTTCTCGATGCGTGGCATGAACTGAAGCACATAGCAGCCGAGCAAAACAGTATAAAACTGCGTCTCTGAGAATCCATCTCCGTGCGTGCATGTGTCTACTCACTGTGAGAGGTAAAGAGTGACCGATTTCGGGTTCGGGTTTCAAATTTGGTAGTACCATTCAGGCTCGGTCCAGTCTTAAGGTTTCGCGTATGGGCTGGGTTCGGGCTTCAGTTTTATGCTCGTGCAGACTTCTACACTGCCCTGGGGGACTGTGTACCTGTCAACAACTGAAAATGACTACTGCCAACTTAAACAGGGCCAGTCCAAGTTTCTAAAGAACAATCATAATAATGCTCTCTTACATAAAATGTGTAGAATTGGATCCAACAGTCTGTAAAACATTTGCAAAAGTCTGCGCAATGGTGTAGTTTACGATCAAAAGTACTTTATTTGTTCAAATACACCAAATAAGATGCAATCACTTCATGACAAATATACAGAAAAAAAGTACAGTAAAACACAAAACAGTAAGTTTAGACAATAAAAGGGGGAAGGGAAAAGGGAAGAGTGAGGGTCCTTATACATGAAAGCATACACCTCCAAACAGGAGAATTTACTCCCTCCATTGAAGCATTCATTCCCAAAACAAATGGTATGGCGGGGTGGGGGGGAGCCTGAAGGGAGACGGACTAAGCTTGTGCATCGTCTTTATAAAATAATACCCTATTAAACATGCCTGGCATTGCTACAACTGAGAGTGTACAATTGTCCAGAGAAGTTGATAAAGCAAGTTGTCACATTAACTTTATGTATTATACAGTTCAGGAACAAAATAACATTACTACCAATAGTATACAGCAGGCAACTCTGACTGGAGAACAGAATGCTAAATGGGATATTGTGTTGCAGCACTGAAACACTGGGCAACTTATGCGCGTTTTAAATGTTTTTTTCTATGGCACGTTTTGGTCCGTGTTGGTGCTTTCAGGTTGTAACAGATCTCACAGAATTGATTTCTTTTTTAAAACAAAATTCTTTTTTTTTTTTGCTTGTTTGCTTTTGTACTCTTGGTGTTTTTGATACAGGGTTAGTTTCAGGTGCCAAAGGTGCGCCCAATGTGATGCTGTTTATAGGAAATAGTCGGGGGTGCGGCGGGTGACATGAGGCTCTCCACGACGGGGTGCGGGGTCAAACTGAAGGCTGTCGGGAGGAGAGAAACAAGAAACAAAGACGGGTGTCACTCAGGCGCACTCGATGTGGTGTCTGAAGCCCTGCACGGCAACAGCCCCACCACTCTGAGCCTTGCGGAAGACATTTCTTTTGAGCTCCAGCTAAACTGGGATTTGTGCTAGCTGTTAGCCACTATCACCTGACTGCGGATGGCCCGATACAGGGTAACTCTTTCGAAGAACAGTTTTGAAACTGGAATCAAATGGGTGAAGGGGAAGATTAAATGAAGAAGGTGCTATATAACTTGGAAACATCTCCCTCTTTAAGAACAACATGACTAAGTCTGACAGTGAGGCTATGTTAAATCTTTTTATACAGTCATACAGACCAGAAAAGGTTACAGTGATGCATTGGTTTGCTAAAAATCAGCAGAACATGCTGCAGAGATTAACATTAATGAACGAAAGTTGAAGGTCAGTGTGCTAGTTACCCACACAACACTAACACATGAATGATTAAGTGCTGTTTTTTTTAAAAGATAGCTGGATCCCTGCGGTATCACTACAACATGAAGATCTGGCAAACAAAAGTCCAAAGTGTTGTACTTAAGCATCCCGTTTCGCTAGGTCATACGCTCAACAGGCTTTAATAAGAAATCAAGTACCACTGTTACTTACAAGGAATATTTTAGGGTATCGTCCAGTTCCATAATGGCAGCCTGGTTGCCACAGCGATAGCAGTAGTTTGGAGCACTGAAAATGGTGACCACATTTCGATCATGACACCAGTTGTAACCCTGAAAAAAAAAAAAAACAATGACCCAACTCTTGCGACAAAATTTAGTTTACCTCTATTTTTCAAAAACGATACTTTTGACTCCAAAAACTTGTAACTGTAACTTACAAAAACCTAAAGTATACCTTTAGGTCTGAAAATAATCATCAAACTTCCACATCTGAGTCATATTACATTCCAAACAAATAAAACCTTATCTTTCCAACATATACATTTCAGCAAAGAAAAAATATTTTTTACTGACTACACAGAAACTGATCCTTTGACATCTACAACAGACTTAACATTCTGCTAGTTTGCCAGTAATGTTCTTTGTGAAGTAATTATCCCATAAATACAAATCTTCATAAAGTTTTCACTTTTCTTTAAAGGTGTCTTCTTCACATGAAAGGCAAACTCAGGAAAGCCAGTTCCGCTGTAAAACAAGTCCAGACAATCTAGTAGCATGGCTGATGTGCTGCCTTACAGACTGCAGTCCGTAATTAGGAAAACCAAGGCGAGACGGAACACAATATAAATCTGTGTCTAAACTAAGGGTGCATCTAAAAATGGCCATTTCATAATTAACACCAAGTCACAAGGTCTTCACTCAATGGGCAGTTTCCCCCACAGATGTAACCTAACAAAGCTGACCATTATCATTTTAAACATTGGAAATTAAAAACGGGTAAACACTAGATGTTATGTGAACATCTAGTGAAAGGGAGGTATTGTTCTTAACATTTCAGGTTTTTGCCATGAATAAATCCCTCTATTCTATAAATGAGGGCGCTGCGCTGATCTTGCACTCAGCACTCCCAAGCAGTAACTCCTTAAATAACTCCACAAGCAGCACTCCATAGTTCCTAAGGATAAGACCCATTTTATAATGCACCTCTGCCACTTCCTTTCATCCATTTTCCAACTGTTTGATCCAGTACAGGGTAGTGGGGGAGCTAAAGCTTATCCAAGATGCCAGTGCACTGCAGGGCAGACACAAACAGAGACCTAATTAACCAATTAACCTACCAGTATGATTTGGGGCTATGGGAAGAAACCAGAGCACCTGGAGGAAACCCATGCAAACATGGGGAAAACATACAAACTCCACACAGATGTCACCCCAGGAACTGAACCCAGGGACTCGGATATAAATTAGTAGCATAGGTAGAAACGGCAATATTCCTTCACCCTAGTATTAAAGCTTGTAATGATCCAGCAACCTCTTAAGTCATTTCCCCGAACCAAAGATCCAAGATTAAAATTTATTCATGTCACAACCACATTCAATATCTTTTCTTTATCAGAACTATCTCGTATTAAGCGCACTGAAGAGAAAATAGGGCAGGGGAAAGGTCGACTAAAATCCAAATTAAAACATTTAAAAGTGGCTTGCAATAGAACTGAGAAAAGGGCTGGGGTTTGCATGAACACAAATAGGAGAAATAACTTTTGAGAAATGGAGCTTTACAAATCTGTAAGAAGCCAAAATGCACTTCTGTTTCTGCTTTACAGTTAAAAGTGGAAAAAAATTGTGTGACTTCTACATTTAAAACAGGAAGATCTACAGCAAACCAGAGTTGAGCTGGTACTGACAGCAGACGAGCTGCAGTCTGAACTACAGTTAGCTACTGAACTGGCTTTGCGACTTCTAATGACCCCGATATCTAAACGTCCCCAGCTCCCTGGGATTCAGGCCATCATATTCATGCTTAGTTCTTCAGCTGAGAAGGGTGGGGATGAGCGATGCTATAAATAAGCACAGAGCTTAGCTTTGCTGAATTATTTATTTGTTTTATAAAGCAAAACTCTTTCGGGGCAGCTCTGTCAGCAGGTGCTCTTAGAAGGTATGAGCAAAGGGCTGGATTCCAAACTCTTACCCAGACAGCCTACCATCTTTGCACTCACAGAACCAGACACTTCCACAGCTGGTCCATACAGAGCGCCCTTAAAACTCTCAACGCTTTCGGCTCTGTGTTGAATAACTACATACAAAACCATCCTTTGTTTTAATCCAGGCAACAACACATTTAACCATGTACCAACTGCATAACCATTTTAAAACCATATACTTTCAAATAATTGCCCTTTAATATCCAATACAGATACATCAGATCTCTTCTCTCAAGACTCATTAACCCGGGGCAGCTACCTCAGCACAGCTGAAGGTAAAATGGAAGACGGCAGCCTTATCCTTGTATTACGCTATCTCCTCTGCTCCTGTAACTCAATCTCTGAATGTCTGCTGAGACTTGCAGCATAAGGGTGGGGTTTTCTCCAGTTCGCCAGTTCTGTTTTGCAAGACTTTTGCAGCATTTTCACTTCCAACCCATAGCCAGGAGAGCTCATGCAGGACACACGCCAAAAAAAAACAAAACAGCACCTTACCTCCATGACAAGTTGGTGAGCGCGGGAGACGAGAGTGAGGCCGTTGGCGTGGTTGAAGGTTTCTGAGATGTCCTGTCCGAACGTGTAGCCTGCGCCCCGGGGAGAGATGCCCCAGCCCCCACGGTCATCTGGGTCTGACCACAGCAAGTCACACATGGGCCCCTGGAGCACAGCACAGCACGGCGGTTTACAGTACTCCCAGGCCAGCACAAGGGGACTTCCACTCAGCAGCGCACAATGAGATGCACGGGATGTGTTTGTGCGGAGGGTTTGTAACCATTACATGCTTTACGAGTCACAGTTCCAAGTCATGTTTAGTCAATATTAATAAACCAAATAAAACCAATAATCTAATATGGACTATTGTATCATTAATAAGAAGGTCAAAATTTAAATCCCATTGTGTGAAGAAATCAAAGGCAATTCCATGACAAGACACTATGGCGGCAATCTCGGCAGCAGGTAGAAGCCAGGTATGAAATTAAAGTTCTTTGGTGCTGGTAATCCTTAGCATTTACAACACTGTCCTCTTTCTGAGGCTTCAGTTTTCTGTGAATGCACATTGATTACACTGAAAGGGTCTTTGTTGAAAGGTTGGCACGATGCAGGCTTCAATGGGGTCTTTTACAGATGAAACTGCCCTCTGTTTACAACAGCTTACCTCATGTGGAACTTCCTGCAAGCGATCTAAAGCCCGAATGTGATCCAGTGTGTCTATTGAGGGGGAAAGGCCACCGTGCAGGCAGAATATCTGAAGCATGGAGAGAGAGAGAGAGAGAATATCAGTATCTGTAATCAACACACTGCTTCCCAAAGAATCATTTAATCAGATCACGGATTAAAAATGATGCCTTAGGAGAAAGAAAAACAAAACAGTACTTTCGTGTTTCAACAGACCAACCACAATGTTGATACCAAGCACATCAGACTTGGATGGAAAGTGGTCTAGTATTAGTAAAAATGAAAAGAAAAAGCAGTCAATCCCAAACAGGGAGATGTGAATTTTCATACCTATGAGAGACACCGTTTCCTTTTCAGTTCCTACAAGAACCAACACTAAACCGATTGGCGCACAATGTAAAAATCACAAACCTAATAGTGGGAATTCTCCATAAAATTCCTTTTACTGAGCAGCTTCTTAAATGTTTGCTCTCACAAGCTACAGACCTGAATTTCTGTGCAGCCTTAAAAGTTTGTAATTATAATTAATTTACTCAAAACCCAGCCTCGTAAAAGGGCTTTTAAAAATAAAGATAGGTTGTTGATTTCTCATTTAAAACATTTCATCCAAGTGCTGTAATCAGCTAGTATTGTTGTGTGGTAAAGTTTTCTGAATACAGAAAAAAATTAACTGATGCTAACGCTTATAATGAATCTTAAAGGGGAAGTGCAATCCCAATTTCTCGGACCAGTTATTAAATCTTGATAAATTTCACTGACATTAGAGATAAAATTACAAATTTAGAATTAAGCACAAAATCGTGAACTTTTGTTAGTACTGTAAATCACCACGTTGACGCAACTAGCATTTTAGTTCTCAGGAATTGCCACTTATCATGGCCCTTCCTGCTCACTAGTCTCTGTAACGAATAATGTAATGTGTTGTGATGTATGAGTGAATAAATACAGGTTGTGCAGCAGATATTAAACCACAGAAATGTTACAACATGATCTGCGTGCAGAGTAAACAAGTATTATTTGTTCGCAAAACCGTCTCAAAATCAAAAGCAATATTTCTATTGGATTAAAAGAGATGTATTCACAAGCCTGTTTACAATGTTTTATTGCCTCCTACTGAATTTCAGAATATGGCACTGTGCGTACCTGGAAATTTAATTTATCTTGTTATGTGAATTGGAGGTTTTACAAGTTACTTGTGTACATTTTACGATTATTACGGTTTGAAATGTACTCAATGGTAATTCTTTGTAACCCTGAGATATGAAAAAAGCATTGCAATTTAAAACCATAAATCATGCCAAACTGTTGCTAGGAAGTTAAAATGCTGTTACATTGGGGATTGGTGGTGACAAAATATTTTAATAATTTTTCTTTCACTTTTCATTGTGATACTTTTGCAGGATTTCAGATAAACGTGCTTCGTCTAATTGCAGGTTGTTCTTTGCACCCTTTTCAGAAATATAAATAGTATCTTTGCTTCATTTAAGCTTTAGTTCTGAGAGTTCTCCTCATGCCCCTGGAATGCAGGGTACAGTTCACTCTTTAATACACATTGTAAATGGTACATTGACTGAATATGTCAGAACTGGTTTGCTGGGAAACCTGTCCTCACCTGTCCATCTACCAGTGCAGTCAGGGGAAGGTAGTCGAAGAGATCTGTGAAATACTTCCACACATTGGCGTTCCCATACTTCCTCAGACACTCATCGTAAAAGCCGTAGACCTGTGTGATTTGTCTGCTTTCGTGGTTACCTCTCAAAATAGTGATGCGCTCTGGGTAGCGAACCTGTAAAACCAACCGGGAAAAAATTAAACCAATCTGACACAGGGGCCGAAGAGCACTTTGAACTCTAAAGTGTCAGTTCCAAGATAATGCCCTTAAGAAGGCAAAATGAACTTTAAATCTGTGACTGCAGTACCATCAAAATGATGCAACCAACTGGGTACATACTGGGATTACCTCATACTACATATTCTTTCCAGTTAATTTATCACTGATGAATTCATGTGATCATCTTCTCGGAATGCAGCGTTTCAATGTTACATTATACTTGGTACAAGCTTAGACGTCATACGAAATACAGTTTGGGTAGATAAAGGAGTATCTCCATTACTTAAGACAATTAATACCAGACTCCCATAACTAATACTGCAAGAGCACATAGACCATGAATCAGATGCTGTGAATCTGCAATACCTTATTTCACCACACTGCAAAACAGTCTCACACTGCAGTGACTGAATCAGGGTGGCGATATGAGCACATGTCTCTGCTGTGGGACACCGAACAGCCCTTTCTCGTCCCCAACAAGCTACGCCAATGCTCCAGGTCAGCGCTCTTCGTTTTCTGACAAATGGTCACCAAGGCAGCCTGCACACTTCCAGAGCGTGCTGCAGACATGACAAACCCATGTTTCGCACGAGAAGTCTGCTTACCTTTAAAGCTACGAGAAGCGTGACCGTTTCCACTGAGTAGTACCCTCTGTCTACATAATCGCCCATGAAAAGGTAGTTGGTGTCAGGCGACTTGCCCCCGATTCTGAAGAGCTCCATGAGGTCGTGGAACTGGCCGTGAACATCGCCACAGACCGTGACTGGACAGCGCACCTCCTGCACATTGGACTCCTTGGTCAGGATTTCTTTAGCCTGCAGATGAAAACCAACAACGTCAGAATTATTTCAGTGACAAGTGCTCACAACTTGCACGAGGTTTTGTTGAAATGCAGTCGGATGATCTAATACTGCCTGTACAAAGCAGCATTAAAACAAAAAGGATTACAGACATTCAAATAAATGTAGGTAGTGGACAAAAAAAGTAAAATCACAAGGGATGGGCCAGCGTGTGTACCCAGTATGGTCTGTATGCCATTGGCATTACAGTATACCAGCGTCTGGATTCTGCAGGAGTGATATGACACCCTTCTCCCACCAGAAAGTCAATTAACTCACACCTCGCTGATAGAAGTGGAAAACGCCATCTCAGGCACCATTTCAGAATATTCTAGAAATGCTCGATTAGGTTCAGATCTGGTAACTGAGAAAACCAGACCATATAGGTAACATCAGTGTTGTTCGCATCAAACCACTGGATGAACACATGCGCTCTGTAAAGACTGGAAGATGCCCCCCTCCGAGAGGAAAGAACAGCTGCAACATGGGGTGAAGACGATCACCCACTGCCATTAATCAGCAATTAGCACTGACCTTGCCCTTCAAGAGAATTAGTGCACCCAAACAATGCCAGAAAAATGTGTCAAACAAACTTAGAGAAAGGAATGAATACACTGTTAGAACCAAGTACTCAGGACTGGTGAGCTTAGGTTGTGGTCACAGGTGTACTCATCTATTTGTCAAGAACATGGTGAAGTATGAATCACGTTGCTCTACTGCTTGGTACTCTGTTAACTGTGTTCTCTGCACCTCCGGATTCACAAGCATGCACTGCCAGCTGCGATGAGCTGGCACATTTATACACTGCCTCCTTACTATGCTAACCCACTCCGTGGAGTCCTCAGTGGACTGTTCTTGATCGAACTAAACATCAGCAAGTCAACCTGTCTTGGACACTGATGCTCCTGCCAA